AAAAAAAAAAAAAGGAAAGAAATAAACACAGGCATGTGTAGAGACTTGAGGCAGGGCTGCCCCTCACAAACCACAAACTATCCACAGTGCCAAGGAAGCCAGAAGCAAACACCCAACAGCAGGGAGTGCCAGGCGTGTGAGCCCGATGCTGAGAAACAGCTGTGGAGGGAGCAGGCGGGGGAAAGGGCGCCCCCTTGCTGTGGTGCAGGGCTGTTTTACCTCCCTGGGGTCTTCCTGCTGGGTGCCGCCTGACAGGTGAGGCTGAAGGGAAGTTTGCTGGATAACTAAACGGAGGCCGGAGGGAAGAGGGAGCGGGGAGGAGCTGGCCCACAGGAGCCAAAGCAGGCCTGACCCCACTGGTGCTGGACTGACTCGGGGACAGAGCCATTAGGGCAGCTTTCTCAGGCTGGATGAGCACTGGGGGCTGGGGGCTTGCACAGGCCCACCCACCACTCTGGAAACCTTCGCCCAGCAGGACCTGCTCTGCACGGTCATGGGCAGCCCTTCTCTGCTCTCCACAGCCACAGCCACAGACTCCATCTCAACCGCAGCCAGGAGTCACTGCTAACACCACAAAGAACCTGTTCCTGCACCAGCATGGGCCAGCTCTGGGGCAGGTGCCCAGGGCAGAGTCACCAGTGGCAAGCAGACAATGAACAATGGGCAAGATGGACAGACTGGACCCGCCATGCTGGATGATGTGGCAAGAGGAGCCCCAGACCACTGGCACAGACCTCCGAGCTGAGGGCAGCACCAGAGGTTGAAGCAGGAGCAGATGCAGGAACTTCGGGGCCAGGCTCGGGAACAGTGAGAAAAGCCCAGGCTAGAGCAAAGGAAGCCCTGATGGCACAGGCATGAAGAGTCAAAGTGCAAGAAATTTGCACAGGACGACGAGAGGCAGTTGCAGGCCAGACTGGGCCCTCAGAGCGAGGGGCTGCAGTCTCCATTAGCCTGCAGCTTCCCTCTGTCCCTTGGTAGCGACACCAGAGAAAGGTCTCCGCCTCCTGTGACACCGTGAGGGCCGCTGTGCCCAGCGCACAGCCCGCACACAGGGCAGGCCCAGCTGACTGCTGCCACTAACCTATGTCATCCCGGAGTGCCTTTCTCAAGAGCTCTCAGTGCTTACCTGGCGCTGGCCTGCCCCATCTTGGGTTAAATCAAAGTCTCTCTGGTGGCCAGGCGCGGTGGCTCACGCCTGTAATCCCAGGGAGGCCGAGGCGGGCAGATCACCTGAGGTCAGGAGTTTGAGACCAGCCTGGCCAACATGATAAAACCTCTCTATACTAAAAATACAAAAATGTTAGCCAGGCATGGTGGTGCAGGCCTGTAATTCCAGCTGCTTGGGAGGCTGAGCAGGAGGCAGAAGATGCAGTGAGCAGTGATCCAGTCGCCGCGACAGAGTGAGACTCCGTCTCAAAAGAAACGAAACGAAAAAAGCCTCTTTGGAACCCACAGAGGAACAGATCAATCTGGTCCTGTTAGGCTCCAGCCATGCGAAACTCCTAGCCACTGCCCACGGGGCGGGTGTGGGCCTGAAAAGACACAGGGCCGGGGGAAAGCTCTTTCTGCCCAGCAGCTCCTGGAGAAGAGCTACCCTGTGCTGGACACTCCTCCCCCTGCGGCGCCCAGCGCAGCCCATCCTTGGAGTCCTGGCTCACAGCGTTTCTGACCAGAGTCACAGCCTGAACCCAGGCAAGGGGCGCCTAAGTGGGAACAGCCTCTTCCCTGGGGAACCCTCCGGCTCCCCAGGGGACACGTCAGACCCGGAAGGGAGGGGCAGCGCCCCGGGCGCCTCCTGCTGCCCCGGGCACTGCGCGGCCACTGCCCCCTGACGGTCACGACCGCAAAGGCGCCGCGCAGGGCCCCGCTCCCCGAGGGGCCACCCGGCGACACGAACCCGGGTGGGAGCTGGCTCCTCCGCTGCACCCCCACAACTTCCCCTCTTCCCGCTCTTGCAAAGCCCCCGCAGAGCCTCGAAGGTGCCCCGCTCGTGCGGGCAGTCAGAAGGCGTTGTGCGCCGCAGCACCCCGAGTCCCGAGCCCTGGCCTCGCGGGTCTGGCAGGGCCGGACCCCGAGCCGAAAACAGACCAGCTCGCACAGTCGAGTAGGCACAAGGCCCGCTGGGTGCAGGAGACCAAGGGCCGCACCCAGTCGGGGCAGAAACCAAGGTCAACGCGGGGTGTGCGCCCGGGCTCCTCCCCGAACCCCGAGGAGCCTGCCCGCTGGCGCCAGGTCTGTCCCCCCGGCCGCCACGAGCCCGCGGGGCCCCGCCCGGCAGCTGGGAGGACCCGGCACCGCCGCGCGGCCTCCGGGCGTGGGGGACTCGGGCTCGCGGCGAGGACGGATCACCCGCCCGGCTCCGTCAGAGCTGCCGCCCGCTCCCCGCTCGCCGGTGGACTGGAGGCGGCGCCCACGCCTACCGGTCCTCGCACGCGGTCTCGCTCTTCTCTGCCTGACGGCCTGGCGGGTCTCGGGCCGCGGGTGGCGATGTGGGCGAGGGGGCGGCGTCCGCGTGGGCCGGGGGCGCAGCCATGGCGCCGGGAGGCCTCTCCACCGGCTTGGCCGGGCTGCGCGCGCGGGCCGCCGGGAGCTGGCGGTTCCCGCTCCCGCCCACCGCGGACTACAAGCCCCACGGGGCAGTGCGCCGCGCCTACCGCGGACTACAAAGACCACAAGGCCGTCCGTCGCGGACTACAAGCCCCATAAGGCCGCGCGGCGGGCACGCGGGACTCGGAGTTCGGCCGCCGCCCCCTGCGTCTCACCACAAACTCAGCCGCACAAAAACCCTGGAAAAAAAATCAATAAACATTTATTTGATACAGTCATTTCAGTACATACAGTGATGGCCCGTCCCCACGCCACTCGGGACCAGGGCGCGGGGCGGGGACGAGGACCGGGGACAGATGGTCACAGGGCGGGCGGGGCCCGAGCGCACCGTCGAAACATCTCGCAAATAAACACTTTGTAGATAGAATATATATGTATATATATATGGTTACACGTGATAGCTGGAGCCGCTTTCGAAATGCACTTATGTACCGAGAACTGGCATGAAAAACCCGGCCCGAGGCCCGAGGCCCGAGGCGCAGCGCGCAGCGCGCAGGGCGCGGCCCGCCCGGGCCAGGCTCGCCGGCCCCTTCCCTTCCGCGCCGCCGGCCGGGGCCCATGGGCACGCAGGAGGCAGCTCACCTGCGTCTGCACCAGCAAATAAAGTGCATCCCACTCTCGTGAGTGTCGGCCCGGCGGGTCGGCCCTCCCGGGCCCCTTCCTCTCCGGGCAGGGGGCGTGCGCGGAGCCCGAGGTAGATCTGCAGAGAGGGCCCCGACCGGGCCTCGGGCAGGGCCGGCGCCCACCACGCCCTAGGGGTCCGGCCTGCTGGTCCCTCACAGCGCTCCCGGGGGCAGGCCTTTGTGGGCCAGCGCGGGGCGTGGGCAGACCCTGCTGAGCTCCACCAGGGCCCTGCCCCTTGGGAGGTGGGCTCTGCAGACCAGCATGTGGGAGAGGAGGGCAGAAAGGAGGGGTCAGACCCAACAGCCACATCTGGCAGCAGCCCCCACGCCTACCTTAAAGACAAAGGGGCTTAAAGTGCTAACATCAAGTTACCCGGGACTCCCCTTCGCACACAGGGACTACTTGGGGGCTTTGGGAGCGTCCCGGAAACTCGCCCCCAGCAAAAACCAGACCCTCTTCTCTCCTCCCCAAGGGCCAGGTACCTGAGAGGCTGGGGCAGGCGCCACACCCTGCAGGTGTTCAGGTCCAACCTCCTCCCCCATTCGTCGCCAGGCCGAAGTGCACCCCTGCCAGTGCCTGCTCCCTTCCCCTCGTGAGGC